ATCGTCGAGAATGGGTCGAAATTTGCATAAGGGAGGTAATAAGAATACATAATGGGAAATTTCATTTTTGAAAAAGTCATCTAAAAATTCTGATTGAGTTCAGAGATATAGATCCCGACGTGATTCCAAAAATATAGCATGGTTATGATCACGAAGTAATATTTTTTTCGAATGTATCTTTTCGAAATTTCGAAGTTGTTATTCAATTCCCTTTCAGCTTTTTGGGAAATTCGCTGATCCGAACAAATCGCCATTCCGAACACACCTTTCCCCAATTAATTCGGATTATTGAGGTTATACTGTATTAAAAAATTTTTGAGCTGACGTCATCAGTTTTTTGGAGGGGATAAATAAATATATTTTGATTACAAATTTTTCATGCATAACTATAAACCATCTGCAAGATTTCAAAGTATTCGGTTTTGCAGATTCCAAATTAAATGTCAAAATGTTGTTTCCTAATTTTGATTTTTTTTCCAAAAATCGTCAAAATTGCGACTGTGACATTGAAAGATGGTAAAATTGAAAACTCGAATAAATGAAAAAGTTTTAAAATCCAATGAAAATCTGAAAAATTGAAAACTCCTGAAATTGCAAAATCTAAAAATGGATATCCAACAATTGGAAAATGGATAAAATGAAAAAATTTAAAAATGAAAACTGAAAGAGTTGTAGTAAAATTAAAGCAACAAAAAAAAATGAAAAATTGCAAATCGAAAAATTGAAGAAACTAAAATTAGATGAAATTAAAGAAAATAAAGAACCGAAATGAAAAATTGCAAATCAAAATCGAAAAATTGAAAAGTCAAATCAATGAAAAAGTTGAAGAATTCTAAAATCGTTAAGCTGGAAAAATGAAAAATTTTAAATTATAATTATTATTACATATTTAAAATGAAAACTAGAACAACTGCAAATCAAAAACTGAAGAAACGAAAAACCGAAAAACTGAGAAACCGAAAAATCAAGAATTGAGAAAGGAAGAATTAAAAATCTAAAAGTTGAAAAATCGAAAAATTGTGAAAATAAAGTAATTAAAGAATCGAAAAATTGAAGAACCTAAAATTGAAAAAACAAAAAATTCTAAAATCAAAGCATTGAAAAAAAAAATAAAAAGCCGAAATGAAAAATAGCCAATCCAAAAACAGAAAATTAAAAATTGTGGTAGCTCAGCGGTTTATTGATAATAAGCAAACAATACAAAGCAAAATATGGGTATGGGTTATCGAAGTGGTGGCAATTCTCGTCGGGGATGGTGGCGGCTCCTGGGACTCAGAGCGTCGTAGGGGATGACGGCGGCGATGTATGTAGCACAGGGCACCTGGACAGTGCGACCCTGGAGATGACGACGTCGGCGGTGCGGCACAGGAGACCTAGAGAATGCGACCCTGGAGATGACGACGTCGGCGATACGGCACAGGGGACCTAGAGAGTGCGACCCTGGAGATGACGACGTCGGCGATACGGCACAGGGGACCTAGAGAGTGCGACCCTGGAGATGACGACGTCGGCGATACGGCACAGGGGACCTAGAGAGTGCGACCCTGGAGATGACGACGTCGGCGATGCGGCACAGGGGACCTAGAGAGTGCGACCCTGGAGATGACGTCGTTGAAGCGGCGCAGGGGGACCGTAAAACAGTGCAGCCCTGGTGATGATCTCGAAGCGGCGCAGGGGACCGTAAAACAGTGCAGCCCTGGTGAAGATCTCGAAGCAGCGCAGGGGACCGTAAACAGTGCAGCCCTGGTGATAATCTCGAAGCGGCGCAGGGGACCGTAACACAGTGCAGCCCTGGTGATCACCAGAAGGGGACCGAGACAGTGCAGCCCTTAAGGTGGAGATGGTGGAGTTCCATCTGCCTGAAAAGCGTCCGAGTTGCCCTTTTATAGGCAGGGTTGAGATGCGTGGGAGTACCTGCACAATGAAGTAACTTCAGGTGGGGTGCGTTCCAGTGGGGGTGAGCTTGGTGGGGTTGATATCGGCGCTGCCGAGGACAGCGCCCTCGTAAGGGTACTAGCGGAGCGCTTTGAAAGCTCCGCTACAAAATTAAAAACCAGGGAAACTCAAATCGAAAAATTGAAAAATCGAAAAATTAAAAAACTAAATATTGAAAAATTACGAAATCTAAAAACTCAAATATCCAAGAGATGGAAAACTGAAAAATTGGAAAAATGAAAAATCGAATAAGAGAAAAAATTGAATAATTAACTATTGAAATTGCAAATGGAAAAATCCAAAAGGCGGAAAAGGGAAAAACTGGAAAATTTAGAAATGAAAAGTCGAAGAGTTCTATGTCCTAAAATTGAAGAAAGAAAAATAAATGAAAAATTGAAAAGTTTTAAATCGAAAAACTGAAAAGGTTTTAAAATCCGAAAAATGGAAAAATTCTAAAATCGTGAAATTGAAAAAGCGAAAAATTTTTTTAAAATTATACTTAATTAAAAAATTGAAAAATTGAGGAAGCGAAAAATCTGACATTGAAAAAAAAATTAAAAAGTATAAAAGTTTAAAAATCAGAACATTGAAAAACCGCAAAAATTGTAAAAATAAAGAAAATAAATAACCGAAACGAAAAATTACAAACCAATAATTTGAAGAAAAGAAAAATTGAAAACTGAAAGATAATAATTGAAAAATGGAAAAATTCGAAAATCGTAAAATTGAAAAAGTGACAAATTTTAAAAATTGTAATTATTATTACATATTTAAACTGAAAACTAGGAAAACTACACATTAAAAATTGAAAAATCGAGAAACCAAAAAATCCAAAATGAAAAATGAAAAATTCAAAATCTAAAAGTTGAAAAATCGAAAAATTATGAAAATAAAGAAAATAAAAAAACGAAACAACAATTGGAAATCGAAAACTTGAAGAAATGAGAAATTAACGAATCGTAAAATTGAAGAACCTAAAGTTGAAAAAACAAAAAATTCTAAAATCAAAATTGCGACCGTGACATTGAAAGATGGTAAAATTGAAAACTCGAATATATGAAAAAGTTTTAAAATCCAATAATTGAAAAATGTAAGTAAGTAAGTAAGTAAGTAAGTAAGTAATTTTATTGTGCTAAAAACATAAAGTTTATACACTCGTCCAAAGTTTACAAGAATGTAATAGTAAAAATAAACATAAAAACCATGCAATACAATACTTATGTAGATTATGAGCTAGCTACATGATAAACAAGAAATTACTCAAAATTATATTGAAAATATTCATTGAAACTATAAAAACTATTTTCGGTTAAGACATCCTTGATTTTTTTTAGAAATTGAGATGGTGGAAGGTTGCGGAAACTCTGAGGTAATTTGTTAAAGAACACTATACAGAAATAGTTCCTGGCAGTTCTGCAACGGTTTATTCTCAAATTTTCGATTAACAAATTTGTGGACCTGGTATTATAGTCATGGAAAGAACTCAGTGTAGGAAATTGATTAATTTGGTTTACTAAAAATTTAAAACAGTGATAGATGTACAAGCAGGGCAATGTCAAAATATTTAAGGATTGAAATGAAAATTTGCAATCATTACGATAACCAATACCTGAAAGGATTCTAATAGCTCTTCTTTGAAGCCTAAAAAGGTTTTGTGACGAGGCGCTGTGTCCCCAGATTAGTATACCATATACTAAGTGAGATTGTATTAGCGCGTAATATGCAATTTTTAATATATTTTGATCAACATGATTTGATAAGTTTCTTAAGAGATAAGTATTTTTAGAAATGATGTGAACAATATAATCCACATGTTCATGCCAAAGTAATTTAGTATCTAGAACAATTCCGAGAAACTTGTTAGTACTTTTCGTATCCGCAAAAGACTTATCTTTCTTCAATGAAAATACCATCTGAACTGATTTGTTCTTATTTACGCAAAGTTTGTTGGCGAAAAACCAAGGTTCCGCTTGCGAAGATATATTCATAAGAGTACTTATTACTAATGAAGATGACATTGCCTTTTTACTAAAAGTAGTATCGTCCGCGTACAATATCGTAAAAAAATCAGGGAAAAAGTATGGCAGATCGTTCACATAAATTAAGAAAAGTAGAGGCCCTAAGATGGACCCCTGAGGTACACCATTGAAAAATGGAAATATGTAAAATTCAAAATGGGATGGATTTTTATTATAATTATTAGTACTTGAAAACCAAAAAATTATAAACCGCCAGACTGAAAAATCCAAAAATTGAAACACTGAAAGAAAAAAAATTAATAAACCGAAACGAAAAACTACAACTCGAAAACTTGAAGAAATGAAAAATTGAAAAAATCCAAAAATTGGAAAATGGATAAAATGAAAAAATTTAAAAATGAAAACTGGAAGAGTTGTAGTAAAATTAAAGAAACAAAAAAAATGAAAAATTGAAAAATTGCAAATCGAAAAATTGAAGAAACGAAAAATGGATGAAAACAGAGAAAAAAAAAACCGAAATGAAAAATTGCAAATCAAAATCGAAAAATTCAAAAGTCGAATCAATGAAAAAGTTTTAAAGTCCAGTAATTGAAAAATTGAAGAATTCCAAAGTCGGAAAGTTGGAAAAGTGGAAAATTTTAAATTATAATTATTATTACATATTTAAAATGAAAACTAGAACAACTGCAAATCAAAAACTGAAGAAACGAAAAACTGAAAAATCGAAAAATTAAAAAACTAAATATTGAAAAATTACGAAATCTATTAGACAAATTTTGGTTAGCGTTTTATCATCTACATGATGTACCTAATAGGTATAAGTACAAAATTTCACAACAAGCGATTCAGTACTTTCGGAGATTATCTGTCTAATAAAAATCCGGGGGCAGACGGACAGACGGACGGACAGACGGAAACGGGGGACCTATTTCTTCGTTCTCCTTTGCTTACGCTCGCGTGTAAAAACACACAATCTGTTAACAATTAATCGAACTACTTTATCTGGCGTGATAAATCATAAAATACTAGGTACTCATTCAAGAACAAACAAAACCAATTAGCTTATCTGTGATAAAAAACCTACTTATTGCCACAATTCGCCCCTCAGTACCACCACAACCATGTATCTTCTCGCAGCGATATGTCTTGCGTTTTTTAGTAGTACCACTGGTACCCAAACCACTCTCTACTACGAAAATTTGATAAGTGAAAGAACTGCGATTGCTCAAGGGTTTGCGTTGCCTCAAAGCAACGAAGAATTTCGAGCAGGGGCAGCTTCAACCGTCACAGAGGGTAAGCAGAAGTACCTTCACACAAACAATTAAACAAAGTCTATTCCAGATGCCGGTACTTTCGACTTCGTTATAGTAGGAGCGGGCTCAGCCGGAAGTGTTCTAGCTACGCGATTATCAGAGATTGATAACGTCACGGTACTATTATTAGAAGCGGGGGGAGAAGAAGATGACTTCAGCGATATGCCAGCCATGTGGATGTACCTCCAATTCAGCGAAATGAACTGGGGTTATTATAGTACTCCTCAAACTAGTTGTTGTCAAGGTAAGTCGAAAATTTACAAACTATTATGAGTGAGCAATTGTTTAAAGGAATGATGGAGCAGAGGTGCATCATCCCGCGCGGAAAAGTCATAGGTGGAAGTAGTACCATTAACGCGGTTATGTATGTGAGGGGCAACCCCAAAGACTACGACACTTGGGAGGAATTGGGTAACCCGGGATGGTCGTACCAAGACGTTCTCCCCTATTTCATCAAGTCCGAAAATTCACAAATTGATGGAGATTCCGGGTACCACGGAACTGGGGGTTTCTGGAACGTGGAGTACGCGCAACCGCCATCGCCCCTATTTTCCAACTTTGTTAACGCCAGTTTGGAACTAGACGTACCCATTGTGGACTACAACGGTGAGAACGAGTTCGGCTCGGCCCAAACCCAATTCAACATAAAACGGGGGAAAAGACAGAGTACTGGGACCGCGTTTTTGGACAACGCCCGCAAACGCAAAAACCTTCAAGTCAAAACTAAAGCCCTAGCTACGAAAATTGTTATAGATCCTGACAGGAAAGTCGCACAAGGGGTGGAATTCGTCCAAGGTGATAAGAAATTCGTGGCTTTGGCGTCCAAAGAGGTTATTGTTTCCGGTGGTGCCATCAACTCCCCACAACTACTCATGTTATCGGGGGTGGGTCCGCAAGACCACTTGGACGAACTAGGGATTGAAGTGCTCGCAGACTTACCCGTTGGGAAAAATCTTCTAGAGCACCCACTTTTCCCGGGTTTGATCATTCGGACAAACTACACCCTCCCGTCGTCTGATCTGGAAACCTTAATTGAATACTACTTGCTAGGTCTGGGTCCTTATACCAAACCCGGTGGTATCGATGGAATAGGGTTCATCAAAAGCGCCGACACCGGTGACGTACCTAAAGTAGAGTACCTCTTCGTACCACCGGGTGGTTCCTCAAGCCTAATTTTAACCCGAGCGTACAACTACGACACCGAGCTCGTTTTCGGCTTCTTGAACCAAATCAACCCCATGACTGACATGATCATAGCTTTGGCACTCCTCCACGAAAAGTCTACAGGACGTATTACCCTAAAATCGACCGACCCGATTGATTTTCCGAATATAGATTTGAATATGTTGGCGGAACAAGAAGACGTGGATAATTTAGTTGAAGGGATTGAGTTTCTTTTGGATCTTGTGGACACAGAGGCAATGCGGGCTGTCAGTGCTCAGGCTGTTAGTATTCCCATTTGTACGGAATTCACGGAACTGTCGAAGGAATATTGGGAGTGTGTGGTACGTCGTATGACCACCACGATTTACCATCCTTGTGGTACCACCGCCATGGGTCCTGATAGCACCACTTCCGTCGTGGATAGCAATTTGAAGGTGCATGGTGTTGAAAGTTTGAGGGTTGTGGACGCCGGGGTTTTCCCGACTACGGTGTCTGGGCACACGAACGCCCCAGCGGTCATGGTGGCCGAAAAAATCGCAGATGTTATCAAGAGTGATTATGGTTATTTGTAAAATTTGTAACTCAGCTAGCAATAAAAATTTTATTTCCACATTGTTTGAACCTCATTATATTATCTTATTTCTTACCATCATTGAGAAATCTCGACTTTTCATCAGAGCGTTAAATAAGTCCACTTAATCTCGCTCCTGGCTATATCGCTTCCATTTACATCTAAAAATGAGTGTTATAATATGCCAGACATCCTTGTACCTAATACTTTCACGTTTAGATCGCCATAAAACACAATCAAAGCAATTTGTTGTGCAAATGTTATTACATCTGCCAACGATAACAAAATCCAACTGAATGACTGAAGATAATTAGACGAATAGTTGCAAGTTTGCAGATGTTTTAGATTTGTGCAGAGCACAATAACAACACGCTAACTTCGAGACTGGCAAACTAAGAAGTTGGCGGTGTACCCGCAATCCCATTAGTTAATTTCTGCAAACACTCCCGAAGAAGCGCTTTTTGCTATATTTTAACTTGACACGAAACGTGACGTCAGGTTAGATAAACGAAGTAAAACAGCGTTATGAGGTTATAAATACAAGAAAGCGACATCATTCAAACATGCGAATCACGCCAGTCCTGAAATAACTTTAAAAAATGAGGAAGAAAATTATTTATCTGGTATTGGAGGCACGCCCACGCAGCCCGAAAATCAATTAGAATGAGGCTTTCACATTTCCGTGAATTAGCAGCGGTCGCTTGTAGTAACAATCATCACGTTATTGTCAATCAGGTTTTCACAAAAGTTTATGGCTAGGATTTATTAAGATAATTGAGGTACTGGAGAGAATTGATGGATTGTGATAAAACGTTCGAGTGATCGGATACGCAGCTTATTAATTCAATCACTGTGATTTTGATGGTATCTCTCGTGGCAATAAAGTGCATATTAGCGTATCTTATCGCAGAATCTTAATTGTGGCCACTCGAAATGTCAGTCATTAACCCACTTTTTTGCAGGCGATGTTTTTTAAAATTTTTCGCCTTTTTTACTTCCCGACACAGCTTTCTGGACGGTCTGTCTGTCTATCTGTCGTCTGCAGCAATTTTTATTAGTCACAATGTCCGAAACTACTGGACCGATTGTTGTCAATTTTTGTGTATAGATATATTAGGAATATCATGTAGATAGTGGGATGATAATTTTTTTCATTTTATACAATACGATATTCCTGCAGATTTTTGGAAAAAAGTCAAAATTGTAAAACCGAATGCTCTGAAATATTGCAAATTTTTAAAGTTATCGTAATTATGGTAAATCGTTCATTAAAATTTATTCGTTTATTTCCTCCCAAAACGTCATCTCAAAATTTTGACAAATAAATTGTCCATTTTTCGAATACTTTTTTGAATCTCAGAATTTTTTATTTTTCCTTTTTTTTCGGTTTAACCATTTTTTGATTTCCCCTTTTTCGGTTTTTCATTTTTTTGGATTTTTCAATGTCTTGGTTTCATAATTTTTCGTTATTTCAATTTCCAATTTTTTCAATTGTTCGTTTCTTCTTTTCCATTTTCAATCTTTTGATTTTCCAAATTTTCGATATTACAGTTTTTATTTTTCGATTTTTCAGTTTTCAAATTTTTAATTTTCGATTTTTCCAATTTTTTATTTTTCCTTTTCCCGACTTTTTAATTTTCATTTTCTCGATTTTATATCACAATTTTTCGCATTTTCATTTCTGTCTTATATTTTTTTCAATGTTTCTTTCGATTTTATACCGTTTGGTTTATTAGATTTTTCACATTTTCAATCTTTGATTTTTTAGTTCTTCGATTTTCCAATTTAAAAATAATTCAATTTATTGATTTCCAGTTTTTTCCTTTTCACTTTTCCAGTCTGACTATTTTGCAATTTTTCTATTTTTTTATTCGAAAAGTTGAAAATCAAAAAAGTGGAAAATAGGAAAATTGCATATCGAAGAATTAAAAAAACGAAAAACTGAAACACTGAAAAAACCAAAAATTGAAAAATTGGAAAAAAGAAAAAACCAATCGAATCGAAAAATTGAAAAAAAAAATAGAAAAAATAAAATCGTCAAAATTGCAGCTATGACATTGATCGTAAAATTGAAAACTCGAATATATGAAAAAATTTTAAACTCCAATAATTGAAAAATGGAAATATTCAAAATGGGATTTTTTTTTAAATTTAAAAATCAACAAACAGAAAAAATAAAATTCGAAAAAAGAGCACTGAAATAAAAATTAAAGTTGAAAAATTGAAAACCAAAAATTGTAAACCAGCTGAAACATCCAAAAATTGAAACACTGAAAGAAGAAAAATTGTAAAATCTGAAAAATTGAAAAAATAAAGTTAATAAACCGAAACGAAAAACTGCAACTGGAAAACTTGAAGAAATGAAAAATTGAAAACTCCTGAAATTGTAAAATCTAAAAATGGAGACATCCAAAAATTGGAAAATAAATAAAATGAAAAAATTTAAAAGGGAAAACTGGAAAATTAAAGAACCAAAAAAAATGAAAAATTGAAAAATTGCAAATCGAAAAATTGAAAAGTCGAATCAATGAAAAAGTTTTAAAATCCAGTAAATGAAAAATTAAAGAATTCTAAAGTCGTAAAGTTGGAAAAGTGAAAAAACTAGAACAACTGCAAATCAAAAATTGAGGAAACGAAAAACTGAGAAACTGAAAAATTTTAAATTGAGAAAGGAAAAATTAAAAATCTAAAAGTGGAAAAATCGAAAAATTGTGAAAATAAAGAAATTAAAAAAATCGAAAAATTGAAGAACCTAAAATTGAAAAAACAAAAAATTCTAAAATCAAAGCATTGAAAAATAAAAAAAAAATAAAAAGCCGACATGAAAAATAGCTAATCGAAAAATAGAAAATTAAAAATTAAAAACCCGGGAAACTCAAATCGAAAAATTAAAAAACTAGATATTAAAAAATTACGAAATCTAAAAACTCAAATATCCAGGAGATGGAAAATCGAAAAATTGGAAAAATGACAAATTGAAAAAGAGCAAAAATTGAATAATTGAATATTGAAATTTCAAATGGAAAAATTGTAAAATGTAAAAACTGAAACATCCAAAATGTGGAAAAGCGAAAACCTGGAAAATTTAGAAATGAAAAGTCGAAGAGTTACATGTCGTAAAAATGAAGAAAGAAAAATAAATAAAAATTGAAAAATTTCAAATCGAAAAATTCAAAAGGTTTTAAAGTCCAGTAATCGAAAAATGGAAAAATTCTAAAATCGTGTAATTGAAGAAGTGAAAAATTACAAAAAAAATAAAAAATACACAATTTCAAAAATCAAAACATTGAAAAACCGCAAAAATTGTAAAAATAAAGAAAATAAAAAACCGAAACGAAAATTGCAAATCGAAAATTTGAAGAAAAGAGAAATTAAAGAATCGAAAAATTGAAGAACCTAAAATTGAAAAAACAAACAATTCTAAAATCAAAGCATTGAAAAATTAAAAAAAAAAAAATTAAAAACCGAAATGAAAAATAGCGAATCGAAAAATAGAAAATTAAAAAATTAAAAACCCGGTAAACTCAAATCGAAAAATTGAAGAAACCAAAAATTGAAAAATCGAAAAATTAGAAAATTACGAAATCTAAAAATTCAAATATCCAAGAGATGGAAAATCGAAAAATTGGAAAAATAAAGAAAACAAACCAAAACGAAAAATTGTAAATCGAAAAATTAAAGAAATGAAAAATTAAAAAAAAATTGCAAAATGTAAAAACTGAAACATCCAAAAGGTGGAAAAGTGAAAAACTGAAAAGTCGAATCAATGAAAAAGTTTTAAAATCCAGTAACTGAAAAATTGAAGAATTCGAAAGTCGTAAAGTTGGAAAAGTGAAAAATTTTAAATTATAATTACATATTATTACATATTTAAAATGGAAACTAGAACAACTGCAAATCAAAAATTGAAGAAACGAAAAACTGAAAAACTGAGAAACTGAAAAATCTAAAATTAAGAAAGAAAAAATTAAAAATCTAAAAGTTGAAAAACCGAAAAATTGTGAGAATAAATAAAAAAAAAATTAAAAAAAAATTGCAAATCGAAAATTTGAAGAAATGAGAAATTAAGGAATCGAAAAGTTGAAGAACCTAAAATTGAAAAAACAAAAAATTCTAAAATCGAAGCACTGAAAAAATCGAATAACTGAAAAAGAAAAAAATAATAAAAAACCGAAATGAAAAATAGAAAACTAAAAATTAAAAACCCGGGAAGCTCAAATCGAAAAATTGTAATATCTAAACATTCATAAATTGGAAAATAGAAAAACTGAAAAATTTAAAATTAAGAAAGGAAAAATTAAAAATCTAAAAGTTGAAAAATCGAAAAATTGTGAAAAGAAAGAAAATAAAAAACCGAAACAAAAATTGCAAATCGAAAATTTGAAGAAATGAGAAATGTAAGAATCGAAAAATTGAAGAACCTAAAATTGAAAAAACAAAAAATTCTAAAATCAAAGCATTGAAAAATAAAAAAAATAAAAAATCGAAATGAAAAATAGCGAATCGAAAAATAGAAAATTAAAAAATTAAAAAAACTAACTTTAAGTAAACTCAAATCGAAAAATTGCAGTACCTAAACATTCATAAATTGGAAAATAGAAAAACTGAAAAATTTAAAATCGAAAACTCGAAAAATTGTAAATCGAGAAATTGAAGAAACGAAAACTTGAAAAATCGAAAAATTAAAAACTAAATATTGAAAAATTACGAAATCTAAAAACTCAAATATCCAAGAGATGGAAAATCGAAAACTTGGGAAAATAAAGAAAACAAACCAAAACGAAAAACTGCAAATTGAAAAATTGAATAATTAAATAGTGAAATTTCAAATGGAAAAATTGCAAAATGTAAAAACTGAAACACCCAAAAGATGGAAAAGCGAAAAACTGAAAAATTTAGAAATGAAAAGTCGAAGAGTTCCATGTCGTAAAATTGAAGAAACGAAAAATTGAAAAGGTTTTAAAGTCCAGTAATCGAAAAATGGAAAAATTCTAAAATCGTGATTTTGAAAACGCGAAAAATTTTAAAAATTATATTTA